AACATGGCTGATCTGTTTAAAGCCATGCCAGAGAATTTTAGTTAAATTTAAATCCAGACTTTGGGTGTGCCACTTCAGAATCTGTATTTTATGTTGTTTTAAGGCTTTTTAAAGACTCACTTGCTGGTGTATCTCAGATAATTTTCCAGCTCCCAAATCACAATGTCATAATTGTTTTGCTGCTCAACATCTTGTTATGTTCTATAAGGTCTTGCAGTATACGGCTCATTACTCTATATTTATTGTTGTCTTCATGGTGTTGCCATAATTGTTAGAATTCCAGTATGTGTGGGGTGTTTTTTGTGTTTTCCTCTCTCCACCACCAGGCGGTGCCCTGTCCTCGTTGGGCCTCCCTGCACACCTGCGGGTCGTTGGGTCATTAGCAGAGGAGTACTTTAGCAGCGGGCTGTCACCACCTCGACGCCAGAGTGTTTGCCAGTATTGGGAAGACTTCCTGTGTTACTGGATAAGCCTGGACCTTCTACCCCTGGAAGGGTCTGCTGAGTCTCAATGAGTAAGGGGTAAACATCCACATGATCCGTTCAAGTCCACTCCTGGATAACCAAGTGAGAGTCCACTCCTTTACTCCTCTGGGTCCAACGTATGTCTGCCTGTCAGCTCTTCAACGGGTTTCGTCTTCTCGGTTCTGGTTCACCAGTCCGCTGAGTTCCAGCAGTGTTTCCCCACTGAGTTTCAATCTCCATCAGTGTTTGCTAACCTACAATAAACCTGTTAAACTTTTACCCTTGGTCTCTGAGTGGTTCTCTGCATGTGGGTCCGATCTTTAAAGCCCATTATGAGAATAATAGTTTAATTCCTTTTGCGTTTCTTTGCGTGTTTCTTTGTTTATTCTGTTTGATCTCCTCTCTTTTATTCCCTTTATGTTAATATCTGTATTTTCCATTTTGATAAGCTTGTCCTGGCTGCTCTGTGTTGATTAGTTCTTTCCCTCAGACTTTCTGCTTTTCTTCTGTATCAGCTGTTCCTTGTAATCTTATGATTATCACACAGGCGTTCACCATCCTTTTCCTCATTTCCTTTAGTATTTAAGGTCTTTTTTGGCCATTGTTCTCCTGCCGAGTCATCCCATTTCACTGCTTGTCTTCTCTCAGTTACTGTCAGTGTTTCATGTTCTGTTTCTTATGCCAATCTGTAAGTTTAAATCCTGTCTTATGAGGTATATATCTCCATATCCATCCTGTGTTTCAATCTGCTTTTGGGTCTGACTCCCAGCCACACCCAAAGTGGTGAAAAGCTAAAGCCTACAAAATCCCCTTCAGGGCTTCCCTATCAGTGGCGGCTGGTGAAAAATATTTTTGGTGGGGCTGATATAGCCTAGTGTATGTCTCCAACTAATCCGGAATAAGAATTCAAATAAACAATTGGACAATACATACAATTTAACAGTAATGATTTAATCTACTATATAATAAGAGTAACAGTGATGATTTGGGTCACTGTGACGGGGTTCTTTGGCCTCCAAGAATCCAGTCTCAGTCGGGTTACCGGTGTTGGTGATTTATTGAGCTCAAAAACTCAAAACAGGGTGCAAAAGAAACTAAACATACAAGATACTCTGGGCCTCAGCCTCCCTCCAGTTACCAGCAATGTAACAAAGAAACAGAAAACAAAAATTGCCACTTTTCTTCCCACAGCCCTCATTAAATAGTTTAAGCCCCTCACATCAGGCTCTCTTATTTCTGATTTCTTCTCATTAATCAGTTTTGTCCATATATTACCTCCACAAACAATTGATGTACAAAAACAAATAATTTTTACAACTTACTTCTTTTACACAGATTCATTGACTTATTCAATTACACCAAACTGGGTTTGAACCCAGCAAAGACGCAGCCAGACTGAAGATGACAAGTCCCCGTAGCATAAACACGTACACACCCCCCCCCCCCCCCCCCCCCCCCCCACACACACACACGGCTAACCCCACTGAAATATTAAGTGTGCACCCTCAATACGCCAGCAGGTAACCAGGAACAGCTTGTGTGTTTTAAGTTCATGGAGCTACTGGTCTCAGCGCGAGTGTATTGGTCCTCACAAACACAGTATAACAGGAATGTGTGTGTGGCGCGCAAAGTTAGAGAGGTTGTTTTAAGCGACGAGGTGGATTCGTCACAGTCACAATAAACATGACATGAAATGTTCATATCCTACAATAGGGATATTCTTCTGGCAAACGGGTAGATAAATAAGGATCTCACCGAATTTGGTGGAAGCTGCATCTCGGTCGTTACATTCGCCATCTCCCCTCTAACTGTCTGCACCTGCGCTTGGGTTCAGAAGTAGGGCTGGGTATTGTTCAAAAATTTTCGGTACCGGTACCAATACCGATACCTTCACTTCGATACCGGTTCCTGAACGATACTTTTTTCGATACCAGTTTTATAATATCAATTCGAAGAAAAAGAAAATTACTCAACATAAAAAAGTACAAATCTTGAGTTTTATTTTAAGCTCTGATTTTTCCATTTACATTTTTCCTCTTACATAAAAAAAAAAAAAAATCAGTGTCTAATATTCACTGTAACATTGTGAGGACCTTTTTACTTAGCAGTTTTACTTTAGAAAAATTACCATGTCTGACAAACAAGCCCGTTGAATGGGATCCTATTGACAGCGCACCGCTGGTATGGGGGGGTCTGAGCGGCTCCGACAGAAAGAATATTGGAAGGCAGGATGAACTGACTGCACTGATTAAGTTTTCAGGTGGATTTTCCCACTTACAAACATAATAAAACTACTTTATTCCCACTGATCACAGCAAATATAGCTGCAAGGCAAATAAAGGATAGAGTAGCTCCGCCCAACGCGCATCAGAGCCACTTTTGCACCGCGCAGCCGGAGCAGCAAAGCTTCTTCAGCCGCGCGTCAGAAGCTGGTACAAGCAGCAAAAAAGGAAGCAGCAGACGTGATTTTGCTTCTCCTGCTGCGTCCAGTTTGAAATTGCAGCATTATTACATTATTACAGCATTACTCCGCTCTGGCTTTGCTCTGCCCACGGGCTGCTGAGAGGAGGATGGTCGCGCTGGTTGCGGTCCGCTCTTCTTGCAGTCAAACACCGAGCAACTTTCTGCTCTTAAATTGCTTACGTCTACTCTACACTATTAGCATCAGTCTTAATAAAGTGAAGCCGCACTTTTGACCTGGGGGGCATTTTAAAGGAGTTCCGCAACGCTCACAACCAGTTCACAACAGATACACATCAACCCTGGCTGTAGGCGGGACCACCTGTGTATTTTTCCTGGATGACGCAATCACGTTAAGTGTTACAGCCAATCACCGAAACTTGGTACCGAAAGACTAGGCATGTTTCGATACTCGGTAGAACCGAAGCATTTCGGTCGGTACCATAAAAGACCCGAAGTTCGGTACCCAGCCCTATTCAGAAGCCTGTTAAAGCGCAGTATTTTCAGCGCCCCAATACCATAAAGTTCCGAGACGCTGATTGGCCATTAAATTCACCTAGCAATAGTACATGATTGACAGATTCTCTGCAAATGTGGGTCAGTCTGATCAGCGCCCCCAGAACAGAGACGGTAGGAGTCTGTCTGTGGAAATCCACAAATTAATGACAGTAGATAGGGAAATGTAGTTTATATAATTTGTTAAAACTGACATTTATGAGTTAATTTCTAAAAATATATTTTACGTTTCTCTCTTCTTATCAGGGAGGGCGGTGCCCCAGCGCCCCCTATGGGCCGGCCGCCACTGTTCCCTATATAATTTATAAGGGACCTCTTACTGTGAAGTGCTATCACAAACCCTCCAAAACTGTCACTTTGAATGGGCCTCATGGAACAGTTTACTTGTATTAGATGGAAGAGCACTTCAGTAGTTGATTTTTTTTCTTATTTTTTTACTAGTTCCCTGAAACAAGGTGTATGCTTAAAATACATTTTCACTGCACTCACAACATCCCAAGTCACAGTATTTTGTGGGTTTTTAACCTCACTAACAATTTATCCAAAACACTTGTATTAAAACAAGACAGACAGTGGGATTATTCACAGCGTTTAGTAAAAAATTTAGTGGATTTGTGGTAGCCGCGGCTAGGGTGTGTATAACTGGAAGCTCTGGTTAAAGAGAAACACAGGTTAGTGACCACGACAATCGTACGGAGGATGATTATTCATGTGTGGCACCAACCTGGTTTAACTGTTAAGTCCATTGTCAGGGAACGAGGCAGAATCAAGCCGGTAAGCTGCCAACGAGATGCGGCGGGCGCCGCCCAGAGTGTCCCAGATGCTGTAGGAGTCCAAGCCAGGTCAGGGAAACCGATCAGAACAGGACGACTCAGAAGTCCGTGAGTTTGAAGCCCGGTCAGAGATTCTGATCAGGAAAGGAAAAGGCTGGTTTAGGGTCCTAGGACTCCACAGACAGTTCAGGCAGAAAGTTCAGATTGGAACAGGTCCGCTCAGGGGATAAGAGGCAGATCAGGATGAGAAAATTAGAACCATTTAAGAACTCTAAAAATCCTCTTTCCATTGGCCTCTGAGAACAACATAATCTTGCCCTGATAGCTGGATGCTAGTACATTAAATATAGCAGAAGCAGGTGGATCAGATGAGCGGTAATGAGCAACCAGGCAGAGTTAGACAGGTGAAGGGAATGAATCAGTAATAGTGAGTTAGTTTCAGATACTGTTTTCTCTCAGAAAATGTAATACTCTGTGGTGAATGTTATTTAAGAGTGCTGCTGTTTGCTTCCAGTCTGAGGCTGAAAAATTGTTCTGTATTGTTTCTGCCAGATTCCCCGTAGGTAGTAATAAAACATTTCTGTGAATTTAGGCTGTGCTGGTAGGAAATGAATGTGAAAGTACGCAGCAAATACTTTCTATCATATCACATTGGCATCAAAGGTCACTCGAAACCACCGCTGACTAACTTTGTCAAATGAATCTATCAAAGAGGCATCCTTCTGAGGCAATTGGCCCTCTCAGCTGTCAGCTTAACACTGGATTGGACGTTGATAAGGTGTACTGTTCTGCGACGCACCATTTCAACTTTGTCCCCTCAGACAGACTCCAAAAGTTCTACTACACACTCAAGCGTATTGATCTGATTGTCTGTTGCATTTTCTCTCCTGTCGGAGAGTTTCATTGAAATTTCATCAGCTGCTCTCTTCTCTGGATAATGACACTGACACCAGACATGGTAAGATCACTGCTTTTCTTATTCAAGAGGAATGTTTGATAAAAGAGAAGCTTAGTTAAACCCTGGTCTGACAGTTTATATTTAATCAAACAAGTGAAGAGTCCCTCAAATAAGAGAGGGGCTAATTAGAAAAAAGATTTGCCTTTGTTAAAGAGAATCAAAAGGCTAAAAAAAAGCATCTAATTATCTTTAGGAAAAGGAGAATTCCCTTTAAATAATTCACTTCTGGTTACAGGAGTGCAAAGGAATGCACAACTTCAACCTGCTCACCAGCATAGAGGAATCAACTGGCTACTATCCATGGACACCTAATGAAGTATGTTCCTTGATCATTCACCACAATTTGCTCCAAACATAACAGCACTTGGGAAAAATATTTGAAACCTCATATTCATTTAATGCCATGATAAAAATTGATACTTTAACTGTGAAGTCCACTGTGAGCACAGGCCATGTCTGACTGCAGAATATTACTGCATCACATCTCGTCTTTTTACTGGTATGCTACCTGCCTTATAATCATATAGGTGAAATCCACCGATCGCGGCCGTGGATTTCATTTTTATTTAAGGCAATAAAGGGTTTATTTTATTCTTAAACACACAATATATATATATATGCTATCGGATTTGAAGTTAAAAATAAAAATCCACTCCAAAACACTGTACAAAGGGGCTCAATTAGAAATGTTGCTCCCTGGTAAGATTTGGATGTAGTGTTGCACCGATACCAATACCAGTATCGGACGGGGCCCCGATACTGCCCTAAAATGGTGGTATCGGTATCGGCGAGTACCAACAAATAGGGCACCGATACCATTTTGAGAGCCATAAGTTAATTCAGCTATTGTCACCCACTCCTGGTAGGCAATAAAACGTTCTACTGGATTCACTTTGTATTAGATTTTTTCCTGCTTCACCAAGGTAGGCAGCAGCTTGACAAGCCATGATGGCAATTATTTGACATTATTATGGTATCGGTATCGGCCGATACTGCACAGCCAGGTATCGGGTATAGGTTTCGGGGCCAAAAAATGGCATCGGCGCAACACTATTTGGATGACTTCAATATAATTTTCAATTCAGTATATTTATAAAGCGCCAATTTACAGACAATTCAACCAGATCATACAGTCAAACTAGTTCAAAGTTTTCTATCTAAATTGCATCGACTCATTGATTCCAAGGCAATCCCTCAGACCAATCATGCCTGTAGCGACAGTGGAGAGGAAAAACTCTTTTAACAGGAAGAAACCTCCAGATTTTAGAATCTACAGAATTTTTGTAACCATCACAAAGTTTCTAAGTGCATTTTAAAAAACTGGTTTGATCCTTGTCATAACCTCAAATTTTAAGCGTAGTCCTGATTTTTCCATCCAACAGGCTAAATGGGGATTTAAGCTGATTTATTCCTTAAGTTATTTTAAATTAGTGCTCTCTTGTCCCTGTTTGAGCAATCTGAATGGCTGCAAAACTGCCCAACAGATGCCTAACAATGCCTAATATGTAGCTGAATGTTCTTAGGACCAAAAGACTCACATTTATCCTTCTAAGCACAGGAAGTTTGAATAGATTAATCTTTGTCCCCTCTGACCAGATGCCTTTTCATCAGACAATATTTGACAAAGTCAGAGTCAGGTAGGTTTGAGTCTTGGTGGTCTTTTGAAACATCGTAGCCAACTTTGGGTCACATAGTTGAGCTTCGAAATAGTTGGGCAATAAAACAGAACACGGATCCCAAGCACAGGAGAAATCCTTTTGGCATAGATGAAGTGTGCTTACATTAAATATCTCTGATGCTTTCCTCAGAGTCCTGACTTCAACCCTTTCAGATTTGAAGGGATTATTTGCAAACCCGTCGTTTGCAGAAAACCAATGAACTTCAATTAGTGTTTTTAAACTAAAACAAACAAACAAAAAAATTTGGTTTGTTGATAAAACATTTCAAAAAAGTTAGAAAAGGTTAAAAAAAAACAACTGGACTTTGTTTCCCAAGTTTGAAGATGTTTCGCTTCCCTGCCAGGAAGATTTTTCAATTCAAAATGTCTTGATTAGTGTTGAGTTCTAAGCTTTATAGAGTAGCCCAAACAAAGCCTTGTTATGGCTTAGAAAACATGCAAATTGGACCGAAAGAACAGGTACACCTCTTTGTAATGGGGAGTCGTTGAGGTTGACTATGACCTGGATGACTGAGAATCTTCACCAGCATATTGATAAAACATTGTGTTTTTTTACTAGCTAAAAATAGTAAAACAAATATCATACAGAATATGAGGTCCAGAAATGTTCATACCCCTGTCAGGTAGATTTGGAGGTGGATTTATTATAGGCAATAGGAAAATCTCCCCAAAATAAAAGCCAATTCAGAAGTTTTGAAGAAAAAAACAAATTCTTATTGCTGTGTTATTTTAAAGGCAAGCTGAACAATATTTAATTTAGTTCAATTAGCATATATGCTTGTAATGGATGCATTAAAGCATCTGAGTAGCAGTGAAGGTTTCCTTCGCTGATGTGCACTTATCCTCTTTCTTCTCCTCAGTCTCCAAGCCCTCCGGGCAGTGGTGCTGATGACTTCCTAGACACTCTTCTGCATGACTCCTCGGTGCCAGCCTCCCCCCTGTGGTCTCCATGCACCACAGACAATGGTGTTAACGAGGACCCCCTGGTAGAACTTACGGAAAGCCCCCATCCAATCTCCTGCACACTGTTCCCTACCCTTGACACACAGGTTTTTCCTCAGCCCACCAACCTGGAGAATCCACCTGCTGCAAAAGAGAAGGTGCCTGATTTGTCAATGGATTTCGGTAAGGCTAAAAAGCTTAATCTAATCTCAAATTAATAGTTCTGATCAAAAGTAAATACGTAGGTCGGTATCTTATATAGAACAAAGCCTGATCTTCTGCCCTACTACATTGTGTTCCCAGCATCCTGCACATTCTATCATTCACTTCTTCTCTGACAGTGTTGCAGCTCACTGAGGTTTGCAGGACATCATTAATTCGCAGCTCTCTCCCGCTCCAACACAGCATTTCAATCACACTGGCATTTAGACCTCCTTCATTCTTTTTATTTTCAGTCAGTCATCTGTAGATTTGCTGCTGTGCATAATTGTATAAATATTTGACAGTTATGCATTGGGGTTTACATAATTATCCTTTGGTCTGCCCCGGTTTGGGTAAAACTTCAGCTGTCAGACAAATGGCCTCCCTTTAAACTTCAGAAAGTCAGGGTATGCAAAGAAATCTACGGTTGACTCACGGACTGCAAAGTAACTATCTGGCCTGTCAGTATGCCGTGCATCGGGTCATATGGTGGTGTAGGTGTTATGGCAAAACAGTTACTTTACAAAACAGTTACAAAGGACATTTTTCCAGAAGAGAGAAGATTATTTTCCCTGATGAATCCTTTTACGTCTTTTTACAACTGATCTTCCACTATCATCTGCATTAAAACTGTTGCATTTTAATATTTACCCTTCTTCATGAAATATGACTGCATGAATCACTGGCTGAAGATGGACTAATCACTGCATTCAATTAGTAGCAGCACCTGGCTTCTTACTCTCTGTCTGCCTGTTAATAAAGAGAGATTATTTTCTGAATTAGCAATATACTGGAAAAGATTGTGAAAGCATTAGAACTCTTGTGTTGCTGCAGGGAAAATGCTTTTTAAACAGACATCACTTTTATTTATACAAGTGGTCTTATTCAGATTCTGTTGAAGAAAGACCTGTTTTGATAAAAACCAAATTAAAAACACAACAATAAAACAATGCAAAGTAAAAGGTTTGACTCAATTTAGATAAGCTAATAAAATTAACTAAGACAAGTTCCTTGCTTTTCATGATTTTTGTCTGAAGAGGAGGCCTGATATTGTTTCTTGTGAAGCCCTGGGGTTGACAGTTAGCTCTATATAAACTCTGCCACAGGACAGTGCATTTGGTAGTCTTTGTAGACCTCTCTTCAAATGGAAGAGTTCAAGGATCATGGTTTGGTGTTTATGAATGATTGTAGGATGGAAGAGAAGGAGGTTAGTTGAATCAGGGCTGATGAGGGTGTTGCTCCAGTGTTTCAAAACCAAGAAGGGAAGTTCAACATTTTACCAGTCTTTGTTCCAGCCCCCTCGCCATGAGAAGTGGATCATAAATCAAAAGGAACAGAACTTGTTCAAGAACAAGAACTTTTGTCAAGCCTTAGAGTCGGTGTGAGAAACTCTGTTAACGGGAGAGCCTTTGAGAGGAGCAACATCTCCTCTATGGAAGGAATAAAGTATCTAATCAGGAAGCCACTATTGCACCTACTAATGGAGGTTTATTTTAGGAATATTCCACTGTGAGGAGATCCAAAGACAATCTCTGAACATATCTAAAGGGACTAGGTCTATCTCCTTATGTCTGGAAATCCTAAAACTATCTAGAGTTGCTGGGGAATGTGATGACTGGATTTCCCCCCCTGACCATCCTCCTCACCCACAGCCCAAAGTCAGATAAGCAGGGTGGGTGGGCATTTCATTTATCTGGTAAAGGTACTTATTTAAATGCTTTCAGAAATTTTTATTGCAGATAAAAGAAAAAGATGTTTTTGTAGGTTAAGATTAGAGGAGATGAAGAACAAGAAACATAAGTATGAATGCTGATATTAACTTATAGATAAAGTGTTTATTCAAAGCATGGTTTTATCTTATCCAATCTTGTTCTCTCTCTATTTGCTTGTGCTCGGATCCAAACTTAAAAAGCATGGGATTTTTTATTATTGCTATCGAGATGACAGTCAAATTTATGTCCCATCTTAAAAAGAAAGATGCCCACTCACCGCCTTAATCAAATGTCTTGATGATATATAGGCCTGGATATCTCTGAACTTTTAAAATTTTTAATGAAAGAGAGACTTGAAGTGATGGTTCTTGGTGACACCACTGGCATAGATCTGGGCTCTTTGGCCCAACAAACCAGTCATCACTAACCTGGGGGTAAATGTGGATGCTGATATGAAGCTTGATAGCCAGATCAGGACGGTTGTCAAATCAATTTGGGCACCTGGCCAAAATAAAGTCAGTTCTTTCAAGGTAACATTTATTACCACTCTGCTGGATTATTGCACTGCCCTTTATGTGGGGGTTAATGCCTCCTCCATTGAATCATCTCTAGATTGTTCAAAATGCTGCAGTATTAGTACATCTCCCCAATTTTAGCCTCACTCCACTGGCTGCCCATACACTTTAGAATTCATTTAAAACTGCTTTTATTTGCTAAATAACATCAAGCCAATGCTTGAATGGGCTTGAGAAAGCAGGTTTCCTTATAGACCTACTTGCTCTCTCAGTTCAGCTGGTCAGCTGCTCCTCAGAGACCCTAAAACTAAGCGGAAGTTCAGAGGGGACCTCAAATTTTTTGTTGTTTTTTCTAAGATAGCTTACTTTTAAAACCTAAATTGATCATTTCTAAATTTAAATCTAACTGTTCTGTTGCATCCTTACAGATGAGCTTTAAAACTGGAGGATCAACCTTTGTTAAATATTGTTTTACAGTTTTATAGGATATTCAAATGGCAAATATGTCATACCATAACTGAAAAAAAAACAAAAATTAAATAGTATAATAATCAAAATTTTCTGTCAAAGCTGAAAACATTGCATTATCAGCGGGAGTAAAACCCTGGGAACAAATTGGAGCCTTGACACTGATGAAGATAATTTATCAACCCTGCTGTCTGAGTTTCTGCCCCTGATGTGTGAGAACAGCTTCTTTTGAACTGTGACAAATTCAAACTGTGACAAACCATGTTAACTCAGTGTCTTATCTATCTGATACCTTCGTCTTCCTCAGCTCATCAGCTCTTTTTATGTCTCATCTGCCTGTGGCGCTCCTTATCTCCCCTGCCATACTCTTTCTCTCCCCTGCTTTTAGTCCGGCACGTGAAAACGATGCGACCAAAATATAATTACATCTCAGTGTCTGATTTGAAAATTAGAAGCTGTATTTCTATGGCTTTATCAGGTCATTTAATTTGTTTGGAGAAATATCTTCAAACTGGCCTCGTAGATATAACCGCCTCAGCTTCATGACCTGATTCAGTTGCTGCTGTAGCAACGAGAAAGATCTCATCCTCCACATCCTCCTTGTTCACATTTTCGAAAGCATGACTTTTTTTCCTTTTCTTTGGAGGAAAAGCTTTTACACGGTCTGAAAATCACTTGACCAGCTAACAGCAACTGCAGGCTTTTTTTTTTTGCTTTCTCTTGACATTCTTACCCTTTAAATTTGCTCAAGCCAGACAGCGTGAAGCAGATGTGGTATCTTATTAATGCATAGAGCAACAAAATAAATAAAAAAGGTCTGACTGTTCTCTATATGTATGTAAACAGATCTATATTTTCCCAATTTTTCTTCTCCTCTTGACAGCACTGTATGGTTTTCCTGTATAGCTTAAAAGTTAGTCTTAGCTGTTTGTTGTTTTGTTCCTTTCCTTCAACTAAAGCCAATTTTGTGAGTTGCATTCACCTGTTTTTTATTTGGTGCAGGTTGGGAGTCGGAGGGCAGTCATGAAGAGTTTGGTATTACATACTACCTTTCCGACAGCCAAGCCCCACTGCTGCAATCAACCTGCACGCTCACAGTAAAAGACCTGCTTTTATCCAACCTGGGACAGAACGTAAGAAGACTTAAGCATCTATTAGATACACTTGTATTTGTTAAAGAGCTTACACTGCAAAACTAATTCAATCTCAATACGTCTTTTTGATTTAAATAAGTGCATTTTTTTAAATAAAGGAGGTAAGTGAGACATTTTACCAATGAAAAAAAGACAATTTACATTTAAGATAAGAAAAAAAAAATGCATTGTCTTATTGTGCATTATTATCTAATTGTCTAATAAAAATGCTCCATTGGCAAATCATCCCATTTACCAGTTCAAATTAAGGCAAAATATACTTCTTTTAAGACATTTTTTAGTTATTTCTCCATTATTTTTGCAGTGCATTGTCTTATTTCAATTGCATACTACAATATGATCCTATTTTAAGAGTAAAAATACTCACTCCATTGACAAATCATCTTATTTACCTACTCATATTAAGGCTAGATACACTTAATATAAGAAATTTGTACTTATTTCTAGATCGTTTTTGCAGTGTATATCAGTATTTTTGTAACTGTTTTTACTAAGCTGTGTTTGACTTTATGAAAGGTATGTTTATTTTCATGTTAGAAATCAAGAATATTTTTTCATTTTCATCATTTCTAAGTGTATATTAGGTGTGACTGTAACTTGGTGCTGTTTTGATTTGCAGTCAATTTAGCCAGAACACTTTTAGAAATTAGACTGTGGAACTCACCCAATGTGAATTTGCAAGGCACAGATATGTGTGAGAATTTGTCCGGTGTGGAGGAACTCAGTAGAAATATTGTTTGAAAGCAGTGGACTGTAGACCTAATGAACTGGAGCCCTACCAAGAATTTTGTGATGAGTTCAGTGTTGTGTCTTTTAATGTGCTTCTTTTAAAATGTTATAATTTTCTAATGTTTATATCCGACCATCAAAACTCAATAAGTATATAGTTAGTTTTCTCACATCCTGTCTGTTTGCTCTCTTTATTATTTTAAAGGGGTCATAGAATGATTCTATCGGGTATATAGTGCTTGCTGGTCCTTAAGGTCTCTGTATAGGGTGTGTAACATTGGTTGGGCTGAAAATCGCATATTTGCTGTTCTATGAGCCCTAATGCAAGCCTAGTTATAAGCCCTGGAATTAAACAACAGGTTTTCTTCCTTTTATGGTATGCTCATGAATATTTAGATGAGCTGTGCGCTGATTGGTTGGTTTACAACGAGCGAAGCTGCTGAGCAAAGACGCATCATCGCAACAAGCACTCACTGACTGAAACATCAAATTGTTGATATGGTAGTTTGACCAGATGTCCTCTTTTTCCCGGACATGTCCTACTTTTCATACCTAAAAAAATGTCTGGGGGGAATTTCAAAATCGTCTGGGATTTTGGTCGACTACAGCCCAGCACAGACTGGACAGGACGGGCATTTGAAACGTGCCATGAGCTCCGGGGCTGGCTTGAGCAACAAACATAATGCTGACACAAACAATACCTGTAATCATCTCCTTAGTTCTAGCTGCATCATAAACTATGCTGTGTGTCGACTCATTTTGCTGTGGCTTTAGGGTGTTCCTTTCTTAAAAAACAATATTCCAATTATTTCTACAATCTTAAGGATAATTTTTGTTCAGTAAGAAGAAATATGTCCATATTACCAACATTTTGACTGAGTGGTTTCTCCATCATTTTCTATACCAGTATTCCAGCATATTCTTATTGAGATTTGGAGGGGTTCCTGTTTAAAAAACATTTTGTTTCCCTTGAACAACATGCAGTGTGTTGACTCTGTTAGTGGTGTCTCTTCCTTGTGTAGATGGATAGCATCAAAGTTGTTTTTTGTTTTAAACTGCTCAAGATAAAGATGGATTATGACATATTTATTAAAATTTTCAAGATTTCGTAAACAAATACAGTCAAAACTTTTTGCTTTATTTATAACCACAGACCTCTTGGTCAAATCCGGCTCTCAAACAAGTAGCACACCCTTAAATGAGAATAATTTTATCAACTCGTATTCACCTTTCATTTCTTCCTCTACCTGGAACTGTTTCTGACAGGCGCAGCGAATCGCTCAGCATTCCTTGCAGGAGCTTGTGCTTAATGAGGATGAGAAGAAGCTTCTAGTTAAAGAGGGCATAAATTTGCCCTGCAAACTACCCCTATCCAAGGTAAATGAGCTGGTAACAGATGTTAGCAGTTCCTATGTAGACAAACACAACCCTTACCAATTTAATTAACTTATTTAGAAATATAAATACGAAGGTTCGGTTAAAAAAACAAACATTTTTCCACCTTCCTAACCTATATTTCTCTAACCTTTCTCTTCTTCATGTCTTTTTCTCCACTTGTCCTTGTTCTAACATCCGTTGTTTCATCTTCATGACAAGTTTGAGGAGAGGATTTTGAAGAAGATCCAGCGGAAAATCCGCAACAAACGTTCGGCTCAAGAAAGCAGAAAAAAGAAGAGAGAATATGTTGACAGTCTGGAAGGGAGGTAAGAAATCAAATGTGCTCAGCATCATAGCCCAATGAGACGGTGTTTCTCATTAGTTTGACCTAGAAAGCGACAATTTTCATTTGTAGTCATTTGTAGCACATCCTGAAACACGCTGTATCGTCATCTTTGATGTATTTCTAAAATCTCAGCAAAGCTTTAGAGAAATATTAACTCAGTTAATATTAATAAACATTAGATTTTTGTTGTTTTTTTAGGATAAGAATCAACAAAGAAAATAAAAAAAACAATAACACCTACACTAATGCTGTCACAGAGGACAGAACCCTTCCTATAATATACAAATATAAATTCATTCAGAGGTGATGTATAAGGTGAAAATTTGTAACACTAAAAAACAGAATTAATTTAACTTTTTTTTTTTACTTTATAAGCATAAACCACCATGTGTATCAATAAAAATCTGAAAAAGTATTGCATGCATTTGTATTCAGCCTTCCTAGGCACTACATTATTAAACAACCTTTGATGCAAACTGCAAGTCTAAAAGGTACAAATGTTTTTGTAAAACATGGCAATCTAACCTGTAAGACTGTTTTCTTATCTATTTCTAAGGACTGAAAAAACATACAAGTACAAACCTCCTTTTCCTCAATAAGGTCCAATTTTCACGATTCAATAGTAAGAAAGAAACTGAGGGCGAAACCACTATGGACATAAAGGATGGTCTCATGTTCGCTCAAAACGATCTTAATGATCTTTAAGAGTTTTTGGAGAACATTATATGGGCTAACCTGAACGAAAAAAAAGGATGGAGGTGATGTGATGGTCCGGGGCTGCATTGTTGTCTTTGTGTGACGTGTAATGGATGGAACCATAGATTCTGCTCCCTATCAGGAGAACAAAAGTCCAGTCAATCACACATGTGTTATGGAAGTAGGGCAATGATTTAAAGCACAGCAACAAGTTCACTTTTTGAATGGCTAAAGAAAAATGGAGGTTTTGAAGTAGCCCAGTCAGGTTTTAATCGCTTTGTGCTTTGTGATATTAAATCCTCCAACGTGACTGAAATAAAACACGTCTGTAAAAAAGAACTGGGTCAGTGTTCTTCCACAGTGATGGAAAATATTTATAATGATTGTTGTCGCTAACAAGGGCAGCTCAAGCTGGTAGGTTTAGCAGATTTACTTTTCCCGCTCAGCGATTGGTGTAACGTGGAAGTTATAATTCTTATGTTTTAGTTGCTGTTTGCGAATATTTTTCAAGATCTGCAGTTGATTTGCCTTAAGATTACAATCAGTACCTTGTTTATTATAAAGAGTTCATCAACTCTGAATAACTCTGGTATAATAAGGCTTATGGATGTCATTCTTGCGCCGTTTAATTCAGAGCGGATACGGGGTTGATGTGTTAGAGCTGTTTTTGTGGAAAATGTATTTAAAAAGACAAATCATTCTGTTAAAAAAAAGCAAAATTGGCAAAATGGGTAACAGTTTGTGTTGAACCATGGTTAATAAATCAAAAAGTATAGCAGATACTGATATGAATGTTTAACTGCGAGAATCAGGAGGATTTGGGGAAATATTATCCCAACTATCATGTCTCTACAAACGGCTGTGCTAACGATGTCATTTTCTATAAATAAATCAAATGAGGATTTTGTAATTTGAGGCAAAGTTTTTGTATTAGAGAGAAAATTCACAAAACTCCACAATAATATGAACAATTTCCACTAGCACAAGATATGCCAAAATGGAGATGAATATGGAAGAAATGTGCCAGTGATCAGGAACAAATTTATAGTTTTTTTAATCATTTGTGACACCACTGTTATGACTCCTAGGAGCATCTGTAACTCTATTATCCCAAAGACATATTCTCGCTATGATCCATGACAGTGATATAGATCCTGCAGAATAGATACGTGCTAGGCCTTATCCTGAACTGTCATGTCACTGAGTGATAAGAACTGTGGGACATTTTGATATCCGGTACCTCATTCATTTTAGGCTGTAATCTCAGGCAGCATTTAATGTAGCAGAAGGCCAACACTGATCAGCTGAACACAGAGAATATGTGAGAAGAAAAAAACTATTGATGTAGCAGAAACATCACAAAGATGCACATCATGTGGTTTGACTGCTTCAAAGAAGCACACGGGTCTAAGGTGGATCGGAAATCAAAATAAAAAAAAAGGGGCATGGAGTTCAATTACAAGCAATATTTCAATCTTTGGACATCTCCAACCACGGCTTAATCCATCCTCCAAAATAAATGGAATGACAAGCCAGGTAAGGAGATTATTAATCAGAGCAGAAGCCAAGACACCCTGTGGTATAGCTTTGAAAGACCTGCATAGATCATCACAGCTCAGGTGAGAGAATTTGTCAACAGAAACTATTGTTATGACTCAGGAAGAAATTAATAACAAGTCCTGTTTGCAGTTTGCTACTAATCATGAAGGGGACAAAGCACAGGTATAAAAAAGGCACTCAGATCAAATGAAATGAAGAAAAGTAATGCATTTCAGCCTAGAGGCAAATTGCTTTGTGCAAATTGAGATCAATGCCACACATATGTAACCAAACTGTCTTTATAGTTAAACGTAGTGGCTGCAGCATCCGAGGATAATTTTTTCTTTAGCATCAAGAAGCTGGTTAGAGTTCATTGGAAGATTCATAAAGCTAAATACAGGGCAATCCTGAGAGAGAAGCTGTTAGAGGCTGAAAAGACCTGCCACCTTATAGCAAATCAGCCCGCCAAGAAACAGTTTTGGCTTGTAGCCTGAAAAAAGAAATGTAGAAATACATGCCTACTTTTGCAAGGCAATACATGATTGAGTTTGTTTGGGGTGAATATTCAGCCCAGTGTTGATGATGTTGGTTTATGTGGTCGGTAACCCTGCAGTGTCTTCCTACACCTCTTAGAGTGAGATGTTCAACAATGAAATATAAAAAAAATCATCAACGCAAATCTGTATTGCAGCTGCAGCAATGCTTGAGCAAAACCTGACAAGATGCGCTATGACTCATCAGACGGGTAGAAGCTTTGCTGAGATTAAGCTGAATTCGGGCATTCTCCTCCCTCTCTGTCTCCAGGCTGCAGAGAGCCTTACCTTACAAGCTGCCAGCCTGAAAATTTCTCAGTAAAGATGGAAAGCGTGCCTGCTTCCCACGTGTTGGCACTTTCCCCTTACTTGCTGATCACTGGCACTATCATGGGAGAGGATTATTAAGGCAAGTGCAGCAATCTCTCCAGTTTACCAATTGACATAAGGTTGAGGTTAACTTGGCTGCTGTTTCCAAATCTGCAAACTGATTAATCCCCGAAAAACGTTATCTGATAAGATATATAAGAGAGTTGTTTAAACACAAATAATAATGCACATTATTTCCTATTATGAGTCAGTTGACCGTTTGAACAGTTCTGTTTTCTTCAATGTTTGATGTCATAAGCAATCTGACTCACAGCGAGGCCTCAATCACATTGTTAGAAGCTTTATTTGTGTTGCTCCTGCCTTTTGAAATTCTGTGCAGCAGCTTAAATGGGATGCTATTAACATCTCATTCAGGCCAGCTCTGTTGGATCTTATTAACAAAAGTTTCATGATGGGCTCAGATTGTCAGTGCTATTGAGTGGAGTCAGCGTCTGCTCGTAATTAAACCAGCTTCATGCAGAGCATAACAACAGGCTGTCATTATCAGCTGAGGGTCATAATGGATGGGTTATTCAGAAAACAAATGAGAAAGGAAAAAAACGTGGAGAGAGCAGGGATTTGATTTGATGGACTTGAGGATGAATTGTATGATAACAGTCACCAGGAGGATATTTGCAGAAGAGAACACTGTTTTTTGATATATTTTTTGTTTTTCATCTATTGTAAATTTGCAATATCAATATTATATTGAATGCATTGTATTGTATATTAAATGTGTGACGTGTTTCTTTAGGATGGCTGCGTGTAGTTCCCAAAACATCGAACTTCAGAGAAAAATCCAGAAGTTGGAAGAGACAAATAAGTGAGTTCTTACATTATTGTGTAAATGCTCCAACTGATTCTTGGATCATTTTTTGTGAACATCAACTCCGGATTAGTGATCCACATTTCAGCAGCACTTTTAATCTGCTGTAGATAAGTTGGTAAAGTACAAACCCAGTATAGAAAAGTGGAAGCGGATTTAAGGTACTTTGAACTTCTTGGTCCCAGATGGGCTGGCGAGTGAATTTCAGAAGCTGTTGATTTCCTGCGATGTTCAGGGACAACCAGCTCTCTGGTTAAAAGGGAATCATCTGTAACAGATAAAATATCCGGGGAGCAGCAGTTGCTTGTGGGGAAAATGTTAGTTTTAATGTGCTGGATCAAATGAGACTGAAAAGATTGGATAAAGATGATAAAAAGATAAGAGTAGCTGAAATAACAGTCATTGCAACTTAGATGTAAGAAGTATTATCTCTGTTTGCACAATAATCTCAGCCTTGAAGACAGCTACTGTAAAGCAGCAGAAGACCACATTGGGTGTTACAACAAGAAACTGAGGCTTCAGTATACTAAGGCTCAGTACAAAATGGACACGACACATTAGAAAAATGTTACCTGGTCCAATTTAATGTAAATAATGTGGAAACATGGAGCCGTTCCTGTCTTATATTGATATGGTGAAGGGGATATTTTCCTGTCACACTTTCACCTCTTATTAGAAATGAGCATCTCTTAAACACAAAAGCTAAGCCAAGCATTGCTGCTGACCATATGCAGTGCTCTCTTACTACATACATTCTGACAGTTTCTTCCAGCAACATAAAGCACAGTGTAACAAGGCCTGACCAGTTTAAAACTGCTTCCTTCAATATAACAATAGTTTACTGTTAATTACTCCAGTGAGCTCCACACTCATCATAAATCCGGTACAGCTCCTTTGGGAGGTGTTTGACACCTTATTGAAGGCTATAAGGAATTAAGACACGTTCAAAGGCCAGCAGAAATCCAATTTGCTACTAGCAGAGTGTACTTAATGAAGTGGTGAGTTAGTGAGTCTATGCTTTATATTCTACAATCTGGACACAGTTGTTTTGTTTGAGATCGATTGATATGCAAAAATACAGAGGGTAAATATAGTATAAAGCAGGCCTATCTGGTTTGTTTGAAATTGATTTTTCCGCTAAATAAAGACAAAAATATCGCCCAGGAATGTGTGTTTGTTTATTTCCAGTTTGTTTACTTATTAATGTCAGTCTGAATCTACTTTTTATGACTAAACTGGTCGTTTTTCTTGGTGCTTATGCAGCCCTGTTGTGGAACATGTTAGCCAGTGTTTTTGGTTGATCTATATTCATACAGCCTCAGGCTCTCCCTCTGGGGGTGCTGACAGTCTGGATAAGAATGTTTTCCATGTGTTGTGCCTCTCAGCATATAAAATCTTTTGGATGCATTTATATAATTTAACAGAACTTTATTAGTTTCAGTTGTGCTACCATCCACAATCTAGTGGTGTTGATTCCCTCCTTACTTTGGTGCATCTCTGCCATGAATTGAACAGAAGATGCCAAACACAGACACACACACTCCCCTCCTCCCTCCCCAAAGTGTGCAGTGCTACTTCTTTTTGCTTCAGTTGCCAAAGATCACAGATGCTGAGAAAGTGATGCCCATATTTCATCTGTGGGCCCTTATGTGAAATTTTCACACAGTCTCTTTCATCTCTCCGCCTCTCTTTGTGTTCGCAGTGCACTGCTGGAGCAGCTAAGCCAGCTACAGGCTCTCTTGCCTAATAGCTCCTGCAAAACAACAAATAGAGGAACCTGCATCCTGGTGAGACGTAACCCTAAAATACCTCAGTTTGCACCGTAGAGAAGATCGTTCAGATGCACTACACCTTTGCAACAACTTAGAACAGATGTAGGCATACTGGGAACATGCTGGATTGATCGAAAAAGGTGTTATGGAAAGTTTTTAGATATTTTCCATCTATGTTTCCCTAGAATATCTAAATTAGTCTGTTTTATTGATTGATTGACACTGATGATCATCTCTTTGTCTTTTTTATATTTGATCTGATGAGTCTATTTTTATTGTGGTTTTTTTGGTGTATTTGCTGATAGATTTTTTTTTTTCTGTCTGTGTGTATCTGAAGGTTTTGCTCCTCTCCTTCTCTCTGCTCCTTTCCCCAAACATTCTGCCAGACCCTTACAGCCAATGCAGCCATGCAGAACATACAGAAAACACAGGTCTGTTGACACAAACCCTCTTTTTTTTTTGTCCAACAAGCACACTTTTGCAAAAAAGCACACATGCACTCATCTCCACTATGTCTCTACCTATCAGTGTCGTCGCCCTCCCTGCAGTCGAGGGATGTGGGAGATGTCCATTCTCAACCTCTTCCACTTCCCTCCGTCTCCTGGGGCTTAGAGGACCTGCGAAGCCTGAAGATGAAGCTTTGGTCCTGGATGGACCTCCCACCCGTACACCTCCAGTCTCCTCATCAACAGGGACACAAGACCGGAGATGATTACGGCTCTCGGCGGAGCAGAAACATGTAGCAACAGGAGTGCTGACTTGCTTGCAAGTGCAGCAGAGTGTTCCTTTAGTTGCTTTTTTTCAGCATCTGTATCTGTCTGTAAGGTGGTGCTGCTTCAGTGCACAAACAAATGCTTCTAACCGGGATTTTTTTCATTAAATTATAGTGAGTGAAAAGCTCATCCACAGTGGTGTAAAAAAAGAAAATATCTTCAAGGTCCCTGTTTATGTAAACAAGTATTAACCGAGGATGATCAGTAGCTGTTTCACTCCTTTATTTTATTATGCACTTTAAATACATTTTGTAAAATAAGTTGGGAATAACTTTAACGTGGTCTGTAACATTTCAGTGAAATGATAATAAATGCAGAGAAGATAAATCGGTTTTTTTTTTTTTTTGTTAATGTGTATATTTTTGTCTAAAATAATTCATGTTCAGTAAAAAGTAAAATGTATTAAATAAGACAAACAGCATTGGAATAAAGTGAAAAGGATCTAAGAAAATAGGAACCCTATAATGATGGTGATGATATTTTCCCAGGTGCCGGTAGGACAACTGGAAAAAAATGGGATGAGTGTCAACATATTTGTGTACATGTTTGTGTGATAATCTAGGACAGAGCATTCAGGTCCTTAGCTACCGATGCAAACACCCTGGAATGCATCAAACAGAAACCATTAACTTATATGATTTTAAGCAGAATTTTAGGTGACAGACCAATATAAATGGTTCATAGCGACTGTAGTGACAATCGCATCTCTTCCACCTGTTCATATTTAGACACAAATTATTTTGTTTGTACTCTCCTCACCTGCTAGATTTAGCTCAAGATTTTTACTTGACTTTTCCAACAAACAAAAAGGTTCTAAGCTAACTTATTCCCTTATATCGATGATTTTATTTTCAAGGTTCTCCTGTAGTGTGAACCTTCTAGTTTGAACTATTTTTTGGTGCCTCTAGCAGGTTTTCTCAAACCATCACCCTGTATTTAGCTCTAGCCATCTTTTCCCGGCTGCGGATAAAGCATCCCCACAGCATGACACTATTACCACCATGTTTTACTGTAGAGATTTGGGTTCCTTAGGTTGATGTGAAGTGTTTTCTATTAAACATGGCATTTGCATATTGTCTTATCTGATGAGAGCACTTCTTCCACGTGTTTTTTATTTCCACTGCACAAGTTGTGAACTTTTTGTGTCTTTCTTTTTGCCTGTGTTTCTTGGTCTTATTTGTTCACTGATGTTCTCCAAAAATCTATAACAGCTCCAAAAATTAAATAACAGCGGGATTTGTACTGAAATTACATTATAAACAGTTGGACTCCTGATGGGAGAGCAGAAACACTAACATGTAACACCTATTCGATATTCCCTCAACTGGCTCTCCATCACAGCCAGAACGGAGCCGTTGTATCTTACCAGTGCAGCCGTGGAATGCTCTACCCTATCTAAAGCCTCAGCATGTTTCCAACCCTATCATTCTGCAGAGATCAGACTTTCGCTGGAACCATTCTTCCAGAAAACAGGATCTTAAAACATTTCTTTTAACCGAAAGTATGTATTTTGCAGCAAATGTATTTATTGTTTTATGCTACTTTTTCAATGGGTGCATTGAACTTTCAAATCTTTCATAAAAATGTCTCATACATAATAAATTAAATCAAGTATTACTGCAAAAATTCAGGCATTTTTTTGCACTAAATTTCTTTAGAATTTCTGAAGCATGACACACTTTTCTGAGCTCTATGTTGCATAAATCTTTGAAATAATTTTCCTTCCACCTTATAACCATGGACTTCCTGGGGTTGTAAGATTACATAAATCCTCCCAAGAATACACTGGATTATGTGTTTGAGGACTTTCTTTACCTTCTTTGCCAACGTTTATGCAGAGAAAGACAGCAGTTTCTTGCAGAGTCTGTATCAACAAAACATTAAAAAGAGTTTAAGGACATGCGGCATGTTCGAGCACCGAATGGCAATGGCATCAGCTGTCAGCGAAAACATCCATTCTCCCAGTTATTATCTGGAGTGGGCTCTCTGTATCCATGTGCATGCTACGCAATAGGGATCAGATTTAAGAGTTTTTGCAGCATCTGCTCCAAACTAAATAGTAAAACTTCAACTTTCCAATGTTCCCTCTTTAGTATTGTTTTGTTCTCCGGTCATTTTCGATGAGTATTGAACAACAAAATGTTGCCCTAAGTGAATTGTTTGATCAGGTTAGCTTGAGACATCTAGAGAGTGTAAAGTCACACATGTTTTGTAAACAGCTTATAATGATATCTTTTGTTAATACAATCCACAACAGCCTTGAGTGTGAAATTAATTATTGATCACATATCTCCAAATCATAAGTTTCTTTGTATAAATAGAGAGTTCATCTGTATTGGTTTAGAGCTGAGATGCTGCAACCTATTTGAAAAAAAGAAGTCACAGCTGAAGTTAGATAAATCTTGGTAATAATTTGGAAGCTTTTGACCATCTTGAGATTTTTTGAGTTTCAAATAAATTGACTCAAAAATGTCTCAAAATTCATAAAACCAACCAGGAGCAGTGTGGTTTCCATCCATGGTTTGTGCAATCAGTCCAAATGTGTTTTGTGGATCTGGAGAGGACATTCAACCTTGTCCCTCATAGTGCCCGGTGGGAGAGCTCCAGGAGTAGGTACTCGGAGGCCCTTTACTAGGGGCTATCTGGCTATCTGGTCCTGTTAACAACCTTCGTTTAAAGGATTTCAAGGTGAAGCTAGAAATCAGAGGGCTGGAGGGGTTCTGATTTAGGGACCAGTGGATTTCCTTCCCTCTTCTTGTCGATGATGTGGCCCTGCTGGTCCCTCCTGGCATTCACCTACAGCATGCACTTGGGCAGTTTGCAGCAGAATGTAGGGTGGCAGAAATGAAGATCAGCCCCTCATCTATGTTCATTAAATCTTACTCATGTCTAAAAGTGTGCAAAGCAGTAATCAAAGCAAAAGGTGGCTACTTTGAAGACCCTAGAATATAAGACATATTTTCAGTTGTTTCACACTTTTTTTAAGCATATAATTCAACATGTGTTAATTCCAAGTTTTGATGCCTTCAGTTTGAACCTCACTTTTCATAGTCATGAAAATAAAGACTGAGAAGGACCATTTCAAAAAGATAATAGTAGTGCTGTGGAAAAAAAAATAAAAATATATATATTTTTTTAAAATAAAATGTTCAAAGTTAAAGTAGAAGAATTTCAAAAGGTTATCCGTAAAATGCTTACAAAGACTTTTTTAACACAACATTCTTTGTTGAATGTTAATTTTCATATGAAATACAGTAAGAGGTAGAAAGTCCAATAGAATCATGCTTAAAATGAAACATTCAGCTTTCTCTACTTTTTTAGTGCCCACATCCTTCAGCTTCACAATAAATGATGAATTAAAAAATTTTTCTTCCATATTTGAATTTGCCATTATTATGAACTTTTGTCAGAATGTGCTCAACCAAGCAAGAAAACTGATAAATGCTAGCTGTTAGGATCTTTGCAAGACAGCCATTTATACTGTCTGATCTATACAGAGAAAAGCAGTTTAAATAACAGCCTTTTACCCTGAAAGAGCATTTGCTTTACCATGACAGAAAAGCTGTTTAAACCTTAAGCAACCGCATTCACAAACAAAATGAAATTTATCTACCGTTTTATTTTTCCTCGATCAGAGCAGAAATATAATGAGGTGAGAGAGAGGCGCTCACTTTGAGATTCCTCCCCATCTCCACTATTTAATTGCCTGTAAGACTCTGACGAAAATGAAAGTCGACACTTTTAAGCACCTTAAACAGCTTCTGCAGAATGTAAATTAACCGCTCCACAGGAAGAAAAACTGTCAGACTCCAACTGCATGTGATTGCGCTTGGTAAATATACAAAGAAAGCAAAAGACATATTTTTCCTAGAAATGTGTCCAATTACTTTAGGAGGAAAGGAACGCTTATTTAACATCAGCACAAGTTAGTTTGGAAGCCTCTGGTATTTGTGAGAGATTGGTATGATTAAACTGTTAGAAAATTATTGAACTTCAATTTGTCAATAGGTTTAAAATCTCTTATTGAAAAAAAAATAACTTGGAGGCAAATGGTAACTGGAGGAGTTGCAGAGGTCGGCAGCTGTTTTGGGAAAATTTGTTGATCAAAACAGTCCAAACCTCACTCAGATTGCACAGTTACCCCATTTGCCGCATCACCCTCAAGAGATGAACCAATCATATTTAGAGGGGGGCCAATGATTTCACTAATAATAGAATTGTGGCCACCCCAACCATTTTTTCCCTGTAATACTGATGGTGGCAGCGGTAATACTCCCAAATGGAATGTTTTAACTTATTTAACTTTTTAATTTTCTATATGTAAACAATTGCCTGACAACAAAAACACTGTGGTTAATTACGCACATAAATATAATTCAATTTCAATTCAGTTTATTTATATAGCGCCAAATTCACAACACATGTCATCTCAAGGCACTTTACAGTTCAACCAGATCATACAGTCAAATTGATACAAAGTTTTCTATCTAAGGAAAACCAGTTGATTGCATTGACTCATTGACTCAAATACAATCCCCCACACTAAGCATGCTTGTAGCGACAGTGGAGAGGAAAAACTCCCTTTTAACAGGAAGAAACCTCCAGCAGAACCAGGCTCAGTGTGAGCGGCCATCTGCTGAGGCCGACTGGGGTTCAAGGAGACAGAAGCAGAGATACAAAAAGCAGCTGTAAAAGGCGGCCCCGTCCAGGAAACACACAGCCAGGCAGACGAGCTCCAAGGCAGCTCCCATGCCAGAGGACGAAGAGAGCACATCCACTCAGTCACGGTCAGAGAAACAGGACCACACTGGAAAACAGGCCGATCTCCAACATCTATTAACAAGGGTGTTGATAGAAGCAGCACAGCTGATGTTTTTTTTCCAGGATGACGTCACAGCCAAACAGGAACAGACGAGGCAAAGCTACTCTGAGGAAAAGCAGAGAGAGCAGAAGGTTAGAGATTGAACTAACAGATTCTGCAGAATAGGAGAACAGAGAGAGAATGAAGCAGAATGATGAAATGGGGGTCCCTATGTCCTCCAAAAGTCTAAGCCTATAGCAGCATAACTATAGAGATAGCTCAGGATAACCTGAGCCACCCTAACTATAAGCTTTATCAAAAATGAAAGTTTTAAGCCTAGCCTTAAAAGTAGACAGGGTGTCTGCCTCACGGACTAAAACTGGTAGTTGGTTCCACAGGAGAGGAGCCTGATAACTAAAAGATCTGCCTCCCATTCTACTTTTAGAAATTCTAGGAACCACTAGTAAACCTGCAGATTGAGAGCGAAGTGCTCTGTTAGGAACATAAGGAACAATCAGATCTCTGATATAAGATGGAGCTTGGCCATTTAAGGCTTTATATGTGAGAAGGAGGATTTTAAATTCTATTCTTGATTTAACAGGAAGCCAATGAAGAGAAGCCAGGATAGGAGAGATATGATCTCTCTTTTTTATTTTCATTAGAACTCTGGCTGCAGCATTTTGGATCAGCTGAAGGCTTTTAACTACAGTTTGTGGACTTCCTGATAGTAAAGAATTACAATAGTCCAGCCTTGAAGTAACAAATGCATGGACTAGTTTCTCAGCACCACCCCTGGACAGGACACCTCCAATCCTTGCAATGTTCCCCAGATGAAAGAAGGAAACTCCAGAAACCTCCCCGATATGGGATTTAAATGACAGGTCCTGATCAAAAATAACACCAAGATTTTTTACTTTATTATCTGAAATCAGTTTAATCCCATCCAAATGAAGTGACTGGCTAATCAGTTTCTTTTTCAGAGACTCTGGTCCAAAGACTATAACTTCTGTTTTGTCTGCATTCAGAAGCAGAAAGTTGAGAGTCATCCAGGTTTTTATGTCTTCAAGACATGTCTGTAATCTATGTAATGGGTTAGCTTCATCTGGATTTATAGACAGATATAGCTGGGTATCATCAGCATAACAGTGGAAATTAATCCCATGCTGTCTAATAATTCTACCAATTGGGAGCATGTATAAAGTAAAGAGAATTGGTCCTAGCACTGATCCCTGTGGTACTCCACAGGTAACCTTTGAGCGTGTTGAAGATCTATCATTAACATGAACAAACTGAATTCGATCAGATAGATAAGATTTAAACCAGTCTAGTGCTGTTCCTTTAATTCCAACAAAATATTCAAGTCTTTCTAAAAGAATATTATGGTCAACTGTATCAAATGCAGCACTAAGATCCAACAGGACGAGCACAGATACAAGTCCATTATCTGAGGCCATGAGAATATCATTAGTGACTTTCACCAGAGCTGTTTCAGTGCTATGATGAGCTCTAAAGCCAGACTCTCTGTGGAAGCTCTCAATTACGCCTTGAAAACTGCAGGCGCTGAATCTCCCAGTATGCCATATATATATATATATATATATATATATGCCAAATATACTAACATTAAAGATGATAAGTAGAGAATTCATGCTCTTTTCAGAACTAGATTTTGCCTTTTATTGGGTAAAGAGAAAATTATGTCATGCAAGTTATCTAGGACTCTTCACTGAAATCAGAGATAAATAAATATTTTAATAACAAGTAATCAATTTAATATAGATATTAGAACATGTAAATATTCGTTTTATGAAGAATGATTATTAAAAAAGTAGGTAAATAATGACAATGAATAAGATGTTCACCCCAGAACTCAAAACTAAAAGAATTCTGTCCTCTACACCTTTAATTTAGGCAGCATGGAAGTTTAAATATATGCGTCTATTTGTTAGCAAAGGCTGTAGGAAAGTGTAGTTAGTTTTATTTGGAAAATATGGATGTTTTGATTGTTCATTTTCCTTTTGGAACAGATTGACCCTGAGGCTCTGGCACCATATCCGCTTTTGGCCACCCCTCAGTGTACATTGGTTATTGCCCGCCCTTATTAAAATTTTTAAGTTTGCCAGGTGTGTTAAAAAGAAATCTAACATTCCCCTTATTAATATTATTATTATTTAAACTGACATGAAGATTTTAGCCAATAGAAAGTCTTTTGCTACAGTGGATATTTGTGTAATAAAACGTGTAATTTTCCTTATATACTCAGAAAGATGCACAACTTTTGCTGTCGGGTAATATCTAACTTAGCTACAAAAAAAAGAATAGAAAAGAGACAGACAAAAAAAAGTCTAAATAAACTAAATAAACCATTTTGATCTCGAAGCTCAAATTAAATAAAAATAACGCTAAATCCTAAAAATATGAAACCGATGACACTTTTCTTCTTGATGATAATAATAGTCATCATTGATGGATGAACTGTGCGCACCCACAGTGCGCCGTCAGGCGGCGGGATGAGAGCCTTTCGAGTATAAAAGCATCCAGTCCGGTTCTGCGCTCACATTCTCAGGATGAAGATGCTGACGAACCGTAACAGAATAGATTGATATTTTTCTTTTTTAACATTTCCCCTTTATTATATTCAAAGATATACATTTTTGCTTCAAGTTTCCATTTGAATCACCGATATGTGAGAAGAGAACGCGGTGCGCACTTTGGACTTTGAGCACCAAACGCAGGAGGAGGAAGATGGGGAGTTTTGTCTCCATATTTGTGCACCCTCAGTGCGGAGGATAGTTTGGCACATGAGGAAAAGCTAGGGACCTTTATCTCTACAAAAAGAAAAAGAAAAAAAAGTGCGCCTTTATTTCTCTGCACAAGCATGCAGAGCAACATCAGCTCCCCCGGACCCCCCACTGGACTGAGCGCGTGCGGAGGGCAGGAGGAGGAAATATCCGAGCTGGTCAGCCCTACGGGAGTAGGGTCCAACCTCCCAGTTTTCAATCTCTCACTCAACTGCTGGCTTCACATCCTCTCCAAGGAGTCCTCCCTGGATCAGCATGGAGACAGCGCAAACCTGCCAGTAGGTCTTCTCACCTTCATTTCTCATCACAAGATGGATGCAGAGAATGTGCACAAATCATCTGAGTGTTTGTATGGCCAAGGTTTTTTTTCTTTTTTGGAGGGGTGGGGGAGTTGGGGAGTCTACAAGCTTAAGTTATAATTTGTGTCTGACAGGTGCGAGTCCTCATTGCCATGGTCTACCTGGTGGTGTGCGTCCTGGGGCTGGTGGGGAACCTCTTGGCTCTCTTTCTTCTCCACTCCCGCCGCCGGGGCCACCACCACTCCGCCATCGACTGCTTCGTGATGAGTCTGACCATCACTGACCTCCAGTTCGTCCTGACCTTACCATTCTGGGCTGTGGACACAGTGCTGGACTTCCGCTGGCCGTTTGGTCGGGTCATGTGTAAGATTGTGAGCTCTGTCACCACCATGAACATGTATGCCAGTGTTTTCTTCCTCACGGCAATGAGTGTGACCCGGTATCACTCCCTGGTTACTTCCCTGAAGATGAGCAGCCCAAGGATCGCCATGACTCGGGCCAAGTGGGTCAGTTCGGCCATTTGGGTGGTGTCTCTTGTGGCAACGCTGCCCCACGCTTTCTACTCCACCACCGTTCAGGTTGGTGCATTTGCTTCTCAACAGGGATGCACCGATCAAAGATTTTGTGGAAAATTGCAGTTCCCCTTCTTTTTTTCAGATTAAGACTTTTCTTTATTAAATACAAAGACCAATGAAATATCTTATGAAATTTATTTGAATAAAATGAACTTTCTTCTGTAATTAAATATTCATTGGATAAAAGTAAGTTCTTAAAAAAGCACAAGGCTACAAAGCAGTCTCTAGAGTAATGGAAATATGGGCCTACATTACTGTAGCAACCTGCAGGTTATGGCACAAAGGGTATGTGTACCAAAAACAAGGACATAACTCATTTAGTCCTTTGCATGTGGTGTTCATCCACCTTGAGAGAAAAAAAGCTTCGATTTCCAGTAATGTCTTAAATTGTGAAATCCTTCATTCATTTATTAAAAGTATAGAAGAGCCTTAAGCAGCCTTTTCTATTATAGACGATCATTACTCATTCATACTGGATCCAGAGGAGACATACTGTGTGTATAAAAGAGAGCTTTCTGTGTTACACAGTGCTGCAGGATTTATATACTGTTATCAGGCCTTGTGCACAGGACAATGCCTTTTGGTGCATCCCCTAAAACAGGTTGAAAAACAAATAACTGGACTTCTTTGTGTAGTTGAAAAAGAATGGCATTCAAAGCCTAGTGAAGCAGAAGTCCAAGCTTTAAACTGTTTGGGAGTTGCCATTTTTAGGGATTTAAATCCAGATTGGAGTTTTACTGTTGCACTGAAAGATGTTTGGTAAAAAAGGTGTGAATTCTTAAAATCTATGCTTCTGAAAGCTTAACAAAAAACCATTACAGATTCAGTGGACATTACAGTGTCCATCCTAGAAGCTTATGACAGCTCTTTTCTAAATTTATTAACACCCTTCTAAGAGTAAAAGTAGTAAAACTTCTCTTAGTGAGAACTTCCTCTCTGAAAAGCGTGATTGCGTGCTGCGGGATTTAAATACTGTTTATTATCAGACCTTGTGCACAGGACAATGCATTTTGGTGCATCCCCAAATAAAGGTTGAAAAACAAATAACTGGACTTCTTTGTGTAGTTGAAAAAGAATGGCATTCAAAGCCTAGTGAAGCAGAAGTCCAAGCTTTAAACTTTTTGGGAGTTGCATTTTTTAGGGATTTAAATCCAGATTGGAGTTTTCCTGTTGCACTGAAAGATGTTTGGTAAAAAAAGAAGTGAATTGTTAAAATCTATGCTTCTGAAGCTTAACAAAAAAAACATTACAGATTCAGTGGACATTACAGTGTCCATTCTAGAAGCTTATGACATCTCTTTTCTCCATTTATTAACACCCTTCTAAGAGTAAAAGTAGTAAGACTTCTCTTACTGAGAACTTCCTCTCTGAAAAGCGTGATTGCATGACATGGTGTTTTCCTAAGGTTTATTGACTGAGAGAAACTATCAGTCATTCCAAGAACTGATTTTATCAGTCACCTGTTGATTTCTTAGTGCATTTATAGACTTAATCTTTAGTTCTTATTTTTAATTTGCCATTATGAGCATCTTGTCATTCTGTTGTGTTTTTTAGGTGTCGGCAGATGATGAGCTCTGCTTAGTTCGGTTTTCTGACTCCGACTCAGGTCACTGGGATCCCCAGGTCTTGCTTGGGCTCTACCAAACACAGAAGGTCCTTTTAGGATTTGTAGTTCCCCTGATCATCATTTCTGTCTGCTATCTCCTTCTACTGAGGTTCATCTTGAGTCGACGTGTTGTGGGCAGCACGGTTGGCAGCGCTGGCAGCACTGAGAAATCAGAGCACGAAAGAGGACGGCACCGCAACCGCTCCAAAGTTACTCGTTCCGTCACCATCGTAGTCTTGTCCTTTTTTATCTGTTGGCTGCCGAACCAGGCTCTCACCCTGTGGGGGGTACTCATTAAGTTTGACTTGGTGCCCTTCAGTAAAGCCTTCTACAACGCCCAAGCCTATGCCTTTCCCCTGACTGTGTGTCTCGCTCACGCCAACAGCTGTCTCAACCCAGTGCTCTACTGCCTGATCCGAAGGGAGTACAGGGCTGGACTGAAGGAGCTCCTCCTGAGAGTTTCTCATAATGTCCGAAACATTCTTTCTCTGGCTCTGAGAGGAAGACGAGTGGAGGAAGCACCCACCAGCACCATTGTCATACATAAGGACATCAATATGTAATTTCTGCTGTCACTGAAAATTTTGGAAAAGCTTAGCTAAGTTTAGCTTTTATATAAAGAAGATACGTAAGCGCAAACCACCTTTCAAGGTTGACAAAGTGTATTTGGTTACCATGGGAAACAAGCAGGCCTCGTTGTTTACCTTGTTGTCATTTCAACCTCCTGTCTGGTTGTTTGTGTTTGACATATCTAATTGATCTCATGGCATTTTCTGAAACAATGACTAGTTTACATAAGGTGCATAGTTATATTTATTTGCCATTGCATTGCTAAGAGTTTATTTTTTTATTCCATATATTTCAGATAAAAAGTAAGCAATGGCCACAATGACATCTAATCTAAATTAGGAGAAATCCTCCGCGGAGAAATATTAAAGGCTAATTGTGATCACCAACAGATTTACCATAATAAATATACAGACCTTTTTTTTCACAAGTGGATGATGCTAATAACATATTTTGCCTGCATAAAAACATATTGCTGCTACCGAAACTGAGAGAGGTGTGAAAATTGCAATTAATCATCACAGTTGACACCTTTTTTTTGTCTTTGAGGAAGCTGTATTGGATTTTCAGATCAGTACAGATGTTTTTCAAAGTTTAGAGTTAGAATATAAAAATTCAGGTGTGTTAAGGTTAATACTAATCCATAAAGAAACTGTAGGATTGTAGGTTTTCAAGCATGGACACTGACTTTGGCTGTGTAGGCTCTCGAAGGGGAATCATAAAGATATATTTTTACTGAAATCCTTCCTAATTATATCTAATTTAATGACAATCCAAGTAGCATTTCTATGGGAGACATTTTTAATGGTTAAGATACTTTAGCTCCAAAGCCTTTTGAGAGGCAAATTTAAAACCGTATCATCTAAATGATTTATAGCAGAGTAATAGAACTTGAGATGACATTTAATTAGTATAACTTTAGTTGAATTAGTAATGTTAATGTGTCCTGCCATTTCACTTGCTGCAATATATATGCCTTTTCATATTGCAGCAGATGTCTTATCGTTTCAGCTAGAAAGCTGCAACATACTGTTAGCTAGCTGTTACTACAATGATGTGAAATTGCATGAACTCCCTTCTTGCCTAATAAATTCAAAACTCCATGAGGTATTCTTAGTCAAATTTGAAATGACATATTTACATAAAACCCCTGTATAGCTACAATGTTATGCTAATATTAACATGTTTACTCTCTTTTTAAATGCAGCTTGTCAGTGGATGAGTACATAATTCAGTGCAGTTACTGTCAATTAGGGGGTTGACGAAGCTAAGCGAAATCTTTTTTATTGTTAAAAAGATATATATGTTTATCTTTCAACATAAAAAAATATCAATCAGGGTTTTAGCTCCTTGCAGATCTTAGGCAAGGCAAGGCAAGTCAAGGCAAGGCAAGGCAAATTTATTTGTATAGCACAATTCAGTTCAAAGACAATGAAAAGTACTTTACATAAAATGCAGGAAAATAAAACAGAATCAAAGCAAGTAGGAAAAATAAATTAATTAAAAAAAAATGCAGAAACAAAAAAGAACATTAAAAACAGTTGGACTTTAAAGGAACTCAGGCTTTCCACACCTTTACAGTTTTCTGGAAGTTTGTTCCAGATAAGTGGAGCATAGGAACTAAATGCTGCTTCTCCATGTTTAGTTCTGGTTCTAGGTATGCAGAGCAGGCTGGAGCCAGAAGACCTGAGTGGTCTGGAGGGTTGATACACTGATAGCAAGTCTGTGATGTATTTAGGTGCTAAGCCATTCAGGGATTTATAGACTAACAGAAGTATTTTAAAGTCTATTCTCTGAGATACAGGGAGCCAGTGTAAGGACTTTAGAACTGGGGTGCTCTACTTTCTTAGTCTTAGTGAGGACATGGGCAGAAGCTTTCTGGATCAGCTGCAGCTGTCTGATCCACTTTTTAGGCAGACCTGTGAAAACACTGTTGCACTAATCAATAAAAAAAAAAATTCGACAAACGGAGCCCTTGCTCCATCTGATAATGATGTTTAATAGAACATTTTCCTCAAATGCTAGACTAATTCTAAAACACTTTAGTGTTTTAAAGGAATAGTACACCCAAAACATGATTAGCCTTCATTTTCTACTCACCCCCAGGCTGAACAACAGTGTGTATAGGATTTCCTAATAGCGCCCCCATGCGCGCTCACGGCGCTACGGAAGCCGGCAGACCAAACCAGCGCATTCAGCTCGGCAAAAAACTCATGCTCTTCCTCAACACTGAAGTCCTCAGACATTTTTCTTTCGTTGTTTCTTTCTTTGCACAGGTAAACAGCACATTTCTTCTTCTACGCTTGCATTATCGGCAGAGCAGACGCTGAATGCGCACTTCCTTCCGGTTTGGTCTGCCGGCTTCCGTAGAATCGTGAGCGCGCATGGGGGCGCTATTAGGAAATCCTATACACTACTGTTTAGGCTCTAAAACGTTCTAAATGACTTCGTTTCGAGTAAATTCTGGATGCTACCCACTCAGGACACTTGGATTACATTGGACGAGCAGTATGGAGGAATATTGACACGTTTTTGTGGACTTTTGTGGACCTTTCTGTCTCGGGCACAATAGACCTCCATTATTTGAATGTCAGCAGACAGCAAGAAGCCTCCCAGATCTCCAGATGCATTTGAGATATCAAAAAAGTACTCCAGAGTTTTGTTCAGCATGGGGGTGAGTAGAAAATGAAGGCTAATCATGTTTTGGGTGTACTATTCCTTTAATGTGACTAATTGATTATCTGGCTTGTTTCACATTAAGCAGTTTCTTAGTTAATTCTATAGGAAACTTAGAGCTTCAGAAACGTAAAGTTTTACTTTGAACATCAGTACATTCAGTGAGTAGCGTTTCAGTTGTTTTTCAACACACATCTCTCAACAGCCAGAGATGCCTAAGCCAACGCACAGATCATATGACATGATACAGAGAGACGGGAAACTGCGGCAGTAAATACAGTCTCTCTTTTACTTGGATCATGAAAGGTGAAAACACTTTTAAGGGAAATCGTTATTTGTTAGATCCGCAGAGTAAATTAGGCTGCCTTTAATATACCTATACAAGCAATGCACACAAAAATTCCCTTATCACAGGAGAGCAGGTTGATCCATTTTTTAGCAAAAATAATAACATCAAACCAACAGTTCACATTTTCTAAAGAAAACTAAATTTAAACCATTTAATCTACTCAACTGAACAATGCAATGATTTAGAAACCACCTTGTTAAATTATACATTTATTTATTTTTTACAACCTGAATATCACACTGTAAAGATAAATTGTTTCAGAAAATGCAATGAGACTGGACTCTGTTGTCGGCACTTAAAGATGGAATATTTTTCAGTTCCATCATAATCTCAAAGTCTGCTTTCTCTGTTGAAACAAACAAAAAGAAATATTGATATTAGTCCTGTAAGGCCATAATTCTTTGATTCCTCTGTCAGCACATGCCCTTGTTAATTGGTCCTCACAGTTATGTGTAGGTGGATTCAGGTCTTCCTGTTGGGATGAACTCTAAGCAGATATATGATGTATTTAATGTTCACATTTGTAAAAAATAAAATAAGAAAAAATGCAAATCTGCTAAAAAAAAAGAAGAAGAAACATAAAGTTAATAAGCATAAACGATCCACGCTGATCCAACAGTTTACGTCCTTTTCTGTTCAAATGTATTAAAACAATATAAAATGATTGATTTTTTTGACTCCTGAAGCGATTTATTTCTAATGCAGCCCTTTAGGATTGTTATTTGATTTGTTGAATTATTGTGGCCCACTCTGCCAGTCATTTGTGCAATAAACAATAATTCCTGGACAGTTGCCATTCTCTGTTTAAAACAAACATTGCCACTGTCTGCTTCGCTGTATTGATGTGAAATGTTTTGTGAATTCACGTATGTCCCGTGACATTAAATAAAATAAAAGGACAACAGATTTCACTGACTTTTTGGATAAGTTAATCTACCTTGCAGCCACAACAGCATCGCAGCGTTGAGGTAAATGAGTCACTTGCACAAAAGCCGTCCCACATTTTGCCCTTTAGCAACCTTTAAAATTTCAACACGGATAACCTTCTTCCAGCCACCGGCAGATGAGTGCAGTTTCTGATGCGGTGCAGGCTCCATGACAGCTCCTCCATTGTGTGCCAATCTGGTGCTGATTACTTCTGTTGTCCGAATCACAGATTCCCTCACTGTAATCTCTGTTGTCTCTGGTGTTGCTAAGAGGAGTGAGTCTCCAAGGAAACCCTCATAATTAGTTTGAAATTCAAGACAATGAAAAGTGAAATGTTAAAGTTTAAATTTGATCAAATTACAAGTCCTTCAGACGCAATTTGTAATCAGGAAAAATGAGGTTGTGTGCATAAAGGGATATCAGGTACAAATTAAGTGACGCAGTCACTTCAATGCATCCACTCGCATATTAGTGGTAATCTTAGAGCTTATTCATGCGAAACAAGAAAGACCTGACAAAGCCAAGGGCAATTCCACATGTACCGAGTAATTGATTGTCAAGTACAAAGAGCAATTTAACACTAAGAGATGAAAAAAAAAATACACTTGAAGAAATCCAACTGAGAAATTTCATTTAAGTTGTACGTTCAGCTAGAATAGATCAAAGTTTGAAACAATTACTGGCTCAAGGTGCTTATATCTCCAGAGCTTATGGTCAAATGGGATGAGCGTGAATGACAAAATGGGTCAAAGACAGACTTACTTCTCACAGCAGAAATAACACTCACCAGCACTGATGAAGAATAGCAGCCTAGATGTATTTTTAAATATATCCGGGCAACCATTTCTGTGTAAAAACGACAGCTGATTTCTGATCTTGGGCTCAGCTGCCAGCTTCATTAGGCTCACATGGGAACCTTAAATTACAAGCAAAATCCAAAGGCAACATGCAAAGTAGAGATTTTAGATATTCTGCAAATGTCATGCTGAAACTCAACACGGAACCAGCTTAATCAAACACAAAGAAACCAGAGTGGGAGAACAGGATTTACAAAGCACAGCACAGTTCAACAGGAGGGAGAATGTTCCATAAGACCCATATTTATGGTCAAAACCTTAGATACACTGATCATAGATATGTTAGATTTATTTTGATGATTTTATGCATGTGTTATTCTTGTTCCACGAAACAATACACCATACAACCTAAATTATGTCAATAGGAGGAGAACATTTATTTTTAAAAAATCTAAAAAAATTGAAAAAATAATTGAATTTGTTAGGGTAGATTTTCAGATACCTGGAACATGATGATCTCAAGTGCTTGAATTAACTTTTTAAGTTTATTGCAGACATTTCACCATTTGTCCAAAAGGCCCCTTCAGCTCTGTCAATGAGATCAAGCTGTAGTTTCATCAAACTAATAAAGCTATTTGGTCATCAATGGGGGATTTTGGTTTAGAGGTAAAATGTCACCAGGGAACAAAAGCAGATGTACAAAAGCCATCAATATAAGCATTTACCATGAATTAATATAAAATTCTAGATGCAGGTTTAAACCTATGGATACACCTCCATTTACAGTTGGATAGATTTCCTTTGGCAGTTTGTTTTTGTTGCCAAAAATTGGCTTCTGGCATGACTCTGACAGATTACCTCTCCACTCTGTTTGGCAGAATTGGTAGAGTGAATTTCTTTTATTGTGTGGGGGTCCTGTTTTTCACATCTAGCTCTGGGAAAAGATGTCCCAGAGCTAAACGATAGGTGAACAGATGTGCTTTATCAAGCAGATCATTAAGACTCTTGACTCACTGAACTGCTCACACCATACACCTCTTCCCGGACCCGGTCAGGCCAACAGCACCGTCTGGCCCCACCCAGGACACGGCTAAAAAGAATGGGCAACAGGGCCTTTGAAGCCGCAGCTCCCGTTCTGTGGAATTCCCTCCCAGACCACCTCAGGGCCCCACAGACGGTGGATTGTTTTTAGAATGGACTGAAAACTTTCCTTTTTTGAAATGCTTACAATTGCTGATTTTTAGATTTTTTTATAGGCTGCGTATGCCTTCGAATGTATTGATTTTAATGATTGTCTTTTTACTCTGTTTTTAATGTTATGGTCTTTTAACCTTGTTTTAATTTTCCCTTTTTTTAAATGTAGCACTTTGAGATTTGAATTCAAATGTAAATTGCGTTACAAATAAAATTAACCTCCTACCTAGAGAACCATCAACAAGCCAGCAGACACAGGTAACTGTCATCTGGGGCTGGACCAGCCACCACCCAAAAAACACGCCAGACCCACACCCAGGAGGAAAACCTCTTCCCGCCTGCACAGAGGGGCGATGACATCAGCATTACCTTCACACCTAATGTAAGAACTATGCCTGAAGGCTTTGGAAGTAGAAGAAAAGGGCCTTTCTAAATTTAGTATATTTTATTTATTCCAAAACAAATTTGTGTTTTTGAAGACTGTGCATCTGAAACATCCAATTTGTTTCAAGTTTCTATTAAAACTGCCGAACCAAACCGTTACCCTTTACACATATAGATCTCCACTTGCAGATATTAATCTGCAGCAATTAACACAGGAAACCTGAATGTCATCCCTAAGA